TTCTGATGACACTGTTCTTTGTAAACCGTTAGTATTCTTGTTTCCCAGATCTTGCTCAGCGTTTTCATGCTGACTGTAAAGGAAGTTAGGCACTTGTTTTAGATCCTCACTGAAGCAAGAAATACAATAGAGGATTGCCTGAACGTAGATACACAGCACAAGTAATCATAACCTGAAACCTTTATCACCGGCCAACTGAAAGGATCCCACTTTGGCAATCCTGCAGACTGCCATCTCCTGTGCTCTGTTGAGTAGGCGGACAAGGCCACCACCAGATAGATCACCACGCTTATAAATACCCTCAGATCTGACACCTACAGGGACTTGAGCTTCAGGTTTTGTTTTTTTAAACCTGCACATGCAGTGCTGATAATATTAGAAGTTCGGCTTCCAAAACAGAGACAGGGAGAGTGTCATTTAAGACAAACGTTCTCCCGATAGCCTTTCTGGTCACCTCGCACCAAACCACCAAGCTTTTCTCCATGACATACTAACTGTGAGAGGTTTTTTGAAACGATGTTTTAGAGCCTGTCCTGAGCTTGTGCCTTCACAAATGAAGGTTCTAAGACAACAAAGCGACAGACCTCGCAATAAAACTTTAGGACTAAAAACAATTTAAATGTGCAGTAGGGTATTAGTGCCTGGAATCACCTCCCAAACCATTCTCTAGAAACACCTATACCAGAGGCCCATCATCCTTCTCGGGACTGCAGCCCTCTCTTTGGCTTTTACATTACTCATGTAATTACTGTTTCATATAGAAAAATTACCAAACTTCTAACTCAAACTCATTTTTATAAGTAGTTAGCTCTCAAATTTTGTCTTATCAACTAAGCAAGTTCTTCTCTGCTCACATAACCATCAGACTAGTCTAAATCGTTCTGTAGGTGAAGGGGCTCAAGGCGTCCAAGAGCCTGACTAACACCAGCCCTTGACCTGACGCGTATGCAAGTACAAACGCTGCTCTGTGAGCAGGCAGGGAACCTCGAGGCAAGCTCTCCTGCCCGACCTCCAAGCCACATCAGACACACACTAATTTCATACGTGGGCTGGGGTGATGGCAGCTTCAATACAGAAGGAGAGATATGCTATCACACGTAGCCTTACTCTCTATTACCTTATTACATTTCCCCTTAGGGAAAGCTACTTGAGTGTGGCTCCTGCGTCACATGGGTTAATTAAAAAAACCTGCCGGGGCACAAGCTAGGGCTACAAACTCAAAGGACAGAATAATGAACACGGAGGGGACTGGTGCGAACCGTTTACAGGAATTCCAGGAATCTGAAGGAGGGACGGATCATAAAGAAAGCAGGTGATTACAGAAATGAGAATGATGTAAGAACAGCAAACAAAGGACAAATACCAGGAGGGCCGTCAAGACCGGAGTGGGCCAGGGCAAAACAGGAGCCATACAAGAGACAAACTGCAGAGGTTACTGTAGAAGTAACAAGATGAAGGAGTTAAAGACTAGTAACAGCAAAATTGGATTGAGCAACTGCGTGGTTACGGAGAAGGCAGAGCCCAAAGACTGCAGCGTTTTCCATATGTGAACAGTAAAGAGAGGAGGGGTGTGCAGGAACCGGGTGGGGGTGTGCACGGGGAGCAAGAAGGAGGTGAGGTGATGCAGCTAACGCGGCACGGAAGGCAGGAAGGACGGACGGACACAAAGGCCCCGGCGTTAACTTGTGGGAGAGGGGAAAGCACCCGGTCCTGGGGCCAGGCACAGGAGCGAAGCGGATGCCCAGAGCAGAACCAGGGGAAGATGGTGGCACGTGGTGGGACACCGCAGGGGGAAGGGAAGACAGCCCGCGGCGCAGGAGCCACGACCACACGTGGGCAGGAGAGCGGGGGGCTCCCGTGGGCCGGAGGGGGGGGGCTGGCCCAGTCTTAGGGCTCCCTAGGGAGAAAGGGGCAGTAGAGA